AGAGAGAAAGGCAGACAGAGACAGACAGACAGAGATTAGAGACAGAGATAGAGATGATAGAGGTAGAGGTAGATTGAGATGGACTGGAGAGATAAAGAGATACAAAGATGGACAGATATGGAAATGGAGATGAAAAGTTATAGAGAGGGAGAAAAGAAGAGGATGGAGATGGAGAAAGGAGATGGAGATGGATAGAGTAGAGAGAGATCTAATCAAATCTGACATGTTTAGTTTTGTTTGAAAACATCTAAGCTGAACTAGATCGTGCCACCCATCATCCTTTGTCAGCCTAAAAATACTAAATGGTTGGAGTTGATGTGGGGACATATCCAAGACTTTTCTGAAGCTTCAGGCTCTGTTTTAAATGCTGTCAAATTTATTAGAGTATTTTTTCCTGGACTATGAGATAATAAGTTAGGCTTTTTTTAAAAAAATGTCATAACTTTTTCTTTTCCTTTTTTGCTGTTTGGGTCTTCCACTGGAAATATTGCTAGTTATTGTGGGCTATTTCCAACATTTTATTTTCTTTGATTTGCCATAAATCCTGAATAATAGCCCATCAAAGCCATTTATCCCAAGTATTTTGTCTATCATCTCCTTCTGAAATCTCCTGCCTTGCCTTCAAATAGCACTCTGGGCAACCACACTACAGGTAATCCTCACTTAATGACCAGTCGCTTAGCACTGCTTGAAGTTATGACTAACACCCCCCTCCCCCCAAAAAAACAGGTACTTATCATCCAATTTCAAAGTGCCAATGGCCACATAAGCACATACCCCGCACCATCACTTGATCACATTTTGGTTGCTTGTCAATCAGCTTGCATTTACAGCTGTTTCCAGCATCCCACAATCACCTGAGCACCATTTTTGACACTTTTTTGACACTTTCTGGATTTACTCCCAGTTTCTGGGGTGGGGAAACATCCACTGGATATAATGAATTCATTTGACTGTGGCGTTTACTTAGCAATAGCAATAGCACTTGGACTTATATACCGTTTCACAGTGCTTCCCAGCCATCTCTAAGCAGTTTACAGAGTCAGCCTATTGCCCCCCAACAATCTGGGCCCTCATTTTACCCACCTCAGAAGGATGGAAGGCTGAGTCAACCTTGAGCCAGTCAGGATCGAACTGCCAAACTGCTGGAAGCCGGCAATCAGCAGAATTAGTGGCAGTACTGCATTCTAACCACTGCGCCACCACGGCTCTCTTAACAATGGCAGCATTTGCTTAATGATCATCACATATTCCATAAGGTCATAAAATTGGGTTTGATTACATGGCAACCCACTTAATAGCTGCCATAACTTACAACAATAACTCTGGGCTCAAGTAGGGTGGTAAGTCGAGGATTACCTGGACCTATTTCTTTGGTGGAAGGATTGTTTCTGAAATCTAGAATGAAAAAAATTCCTGGGCTAATAGAATCAATGTGTACAGAGAGGAACACAACAACCCTGAGGTACCAGTGTGCCTGCAGACATATCTCTGTCACCAGATTTCTTTGATTTATTTTATTTCTGAGTCAGTTTTGACTCCTGGCAACTATATGAACAAGCCTGAGTGATGTCTATAGAGATTCTCAGTCATCCAAGTCATGGTTGTTGTCCCAAAGGTGCTTTTTCAAGAGGCAATTGGACTTTCTGGTTTTTCTTTGAAGATATGATCTTGTTATGTTGTCTTAGTTGTGCCTTCTTTATAAATTCTGTGACCTGTTCCAATGCTTCTGTTGGTAGAAGAAATGATTTCAGCTTTTGGAGTTTGTGTACCATAAGAAGGAGTATAAATCCTTCTATTCCCCACCATCCAGTCAGAGCTGAAGGAGCTTCTTGGATGAGAAGCAAAATGTCTTCAAAGAAAAAACAGAAAGTGCAGTTGCCTCTTGAAAAAGCACCTTAGGTCTGGGTGGTTTTCTTAGTATTTTGGGGGGGGGGGGAGTGCTTGCCATGTCCATCTTCTTCCTACTATGAGAGAACTGGACTGGCCCAATGTCACTCAGTTGGCTTCACACCTCAGGCAGGACTAGAACTCATAGCTCTTTGTTTCTAACATGCTTTGATCACTACACCAAACTGGCTTTCCCTTATGCAATTATTCACTTGTTTTACTGTATTTATATGACACCTGGTAGAGTGTCTCTATTACCTGTAGTTAATTATTAAAAATGAGAAGGCTGTGGAGCAAAGCACCAGCTTTTAGCACCAGTTTTCTTAGAAATGACCCGATGTAAGCTTTGGTCATTTTTCCAAAATAAAACACAAACAAATGTTGCCCAAAATTGTCTGCCGAGAATGAGAAAGAAAGAAAGAAAGAAAGAAAGAAAGAAAGAAAGAGAGAGAGAGAGAGAGAGAGAGAGAGAGAGAGAGAGAGAGAGAGA